TGCCCAACCTTCCTTCTGAGGAGTGGCTGGTGAGTTTGAACCACCAGCCTTCTGGTTAGCAGTCAAGTGCCTTAGGCACTACACTACCAGAGCTCTATGTTGTATTTGTTGTTGTTGTTATGTGCCATCGAGTCAGACTTGACTCATAGTGACCCCTCCTTGGGTTTCCGAGGTAGTATCACTATGGAAGTAGATTGTCCCATCTTCCTTCCCAGAAGTGGCTGGTGGGTTTGAATCACCAGCTTTCTGGTCAGCAGTCAAGTGCCTTAGGCACTACGGCATTAGTGAGCTAAAATGGACTGGTATGGGCCATTTTGAATCAGACAACCAAATAATCTACTACGCCGGGAATGACAAATTGAAGAGGAATGGTGTGGCATTCATCATCACGAAGACTGTTTCAAGATCTGTCCTGAAGGACAAAACTGTCAGTGATAGGATAATATCCAAACACCTACAAGGAAGACCAGTTGATACTACTATCAAATTTACACACCAACCACCAAAACCAAAGAAGAGGAAATTGAAGATTACTTCTTCAGTCTGAAATTGACCAAACAGTAAGGTGCAGTAAGGATCGTGAGGCTGGCACAAGACTGGGGCAGTGTTTCGTGCTGGTGTGCATGGATGGGGTCACTATGAGTTGGAGATGACTCTACAGCACCTAACAACAACAACAACAACAAGTGTCATTGTCTACCATCCTACCTTGCACCTAATCACCTGTATGCCCCAAGAGGAGCCTGGGGCAATCAAGATGTGTTGATTATCACTGGTGATTGGAGTGCGAAAGTTGGAAACAAAGAAGACTTACCAGTAGTTGGAAAATACGGCCTTGGTGATAGAAATAATCCTGGAGATCTCATGATAGAATTTGCAAGATCAATGACTTATTCATTGCAAATACCTTTTTTCAACAACACAAGTGATGACTATATACATGGCCTTCACCAGATGGAATACACAGGAATCAGATTGACTATATCTGTGGCAAGAAGCAATGGAGAAGCTCAATATCTTATAAATTACTGAAGATAATTTATAAATGGTTGTAGCAGTATATTGACAGAGAGCTCCCAGAAATGCAAGCTGGATTCAGAAGAGGATGTGGGATGAGGGATATCATTGCTGATGTCAGATGGATCTTGGCTGAAAGCAAAGAATACTAGAAAAAATGGTTACTTATGTTTTATTGACTATGCAAAGCATTCAATTATGTGGATCATAACAAATTGTGGATAACATTGAGAAGAATGGGAATTCCAGAATATTTGATTATATTCATGAGGAACCTGTATATAAATCAGGAGGCTGTCATTCAAACAGAACAAGGGGACACTGCATGGTTCAAAATCAAGAAGGGAGTGCGTCAAGGTTGTACCCTTTCACCATACTTATTCAACTTGTATGCTGAGCAGATAATCTGAGAAGCTGAATTATATGAAGAAGAATGTGGCATCAGGATTGGAGGAGACTCATTAACAACCTGTGACATGCAGATGACACAACTTTGCGCTTACTGAAAGTGAGGATGACTTGAAGCACTTACTGATGAAGATGAAAGACTACAAGTCTGCAGTATGGATTATACCTCAATATGTTGTTGTTGTTGTTTGCCGTCGAGTCGGCCCCGACTCATAGCGACCCCTCCTTGGGTTTCCGAGGCAGTATCACTACGGAAGTAGGATTGCCCAACCTTCCTTCCGAGGAGTGGCTGGTGGGTTTGAACCGCCAGCCGTCTGGTTAGCAGGCAAGTGTCTTAGCCACTATGCTACCAGAGCTCCCACACCTCAATATAAAGAAAACAAAAATCCTTACAACTGGTCCAATAGACAACTTCATGGTGGATGGAGAAAAGATTGAAGTTGTCAAGGATTTGATATTATTTGGTTCTACAATCAATACCAGTGGAAGCAGCAGTCAAGACATCATATGGCATATTGCATTGGGCAAAATCTGCTGCAAAAGACCTCTTTCAAGTGATGAAGAGCAAAGATGTCTCCTTGAAGACTAAGGTACGCCTAACCCATGCCATGGTATTTTTAATTGTCTCTTACGCATGTGAAAGCTGCACAATGAATAGGGAAGACTGAAGAAGAATTGATGCTTTTGAGTTGCGGTGTTGGAGAAGAATGCTAAGAGCACCATGGTCTGCTAAAAGGACTAACAAATCTGTCCTGGAGGAAGTGCAGCTGGAACGCTTTTTGGAAGTGAGACTGGCTAGACTTCATCTCACCTACTTTGGTCATGTTGTCAGAAGGGACCATTCCCTGGAGAAGTATATCGTGCTTAGTAAAGTGGGGGGTCAACAAAGAAGGGGAAGGCCCTCAACAAGATGCGTAGATACAGTGGCTTCAATGATGGGCTCAGGTACAGTAAGTATCATGAGGCTGGCACAAGACTGGGGCAGTGTTTCGTGCTGGTGTGCATGGATAGGGTCGCTATGAGTTGGAGATGACTCAACGGCACCTAACAACAACAACAAGTGTCATTGTCTACTATCCTATCTTGCACCTAATCACCTGTATGCCCCAAGAGGAGCCTGGGGCCTGCAGAAGGTCAAGGGGGCTTGCTCCAGGCTACCCTACCAGACAGAAGAGGGTAAAACAAGCCAGAACCCAGGTATACACACACACAATAGCCCATTCCCCAGAGACCCCCCGCCCTCCAACTGAGGTGCCTCAGAAAGGCTTCCTGCCCAAAACCCCATTTTTTTAAGATTAAATATTACTACATTGGTCTTGTCCATGGCTGCAGACTAAGATGTTCTCCATCGATACCTGTTAAATGGGTTAATACCTTTATTCTGGTTTGGGAACAGCTCTTTCAAAGCTTCTGCAGGGAATGTTAACATTAGAGTACTAGGAGTAAAAGCTAGGAGCTCTGGTGGTGCAATGGTTAAGCACTTGGCTGCTAACCAAAATATTGGTGGTTAAAACCTACCCAGGAATTCTGGGGCAGAAAGACCTGATGATTTGCTTCCAAAAAGATTACAACGTAGAAAACCCTATGGGGCATTTCTGTTAGGAGTTTGCTACAAGTTGGAATCAACTCTATGGCACCCAACAGCATGAGTCAAAGCAGGGAGAACTCGCCTGTGTTCTCAGATGGCCACAGGGCGAAGGGAAACTTGGAGTCTGGAGCTGCTCAGAAGTAGACCTAGAGCTATGCATGCACAGAATAAGGCAACACGGGATTGTGGTGGAGATGAGAGGGACCAAAGACAGATTAACCTGGGGGCCCTGGGCTTGGAGGCCAGCACAAGCAAGTAGAGGGTTTCCAAATGAACCCAGATGCTCCCCCATTGGGCCCAGCTGACTTGAGTCCCTCTTTACAGAGGCTCTTCCCCTTGTTGGACTCTGGATCTGAATCTAGGCACCTCCAGAGCCATAGAAGGTCACTAGGGCACCAGCCTGGCTCTCACATTCCTTAGCCTGGCAGGGTCAGGGAGGGATAGAGGTACTCACTGGGCCCAATGGAATGTCCCGCGATGTAGGCAAAGACACAGATGATGCCAAGGTAAGACAGCTCAGGGACAGTGCTCTGTGGGGACAGACAGGGACATCTATGGTTGGGAGGGCCTGGTCTGGGACCTGAGAGCAGAGGCCAAGAGCCCTGCAAACAGGTGGGCCCACCTTCAGGTCCACTTTCCTGCTGCTGGAAGAAGGAGCCCCACATGAATGTCCCAGCACCTATGTGACTACATACATGGGCCTCAAGGGCTCTGTGGGCAAGAGAGGAAGCAGATAAGAAGAGTGACTGATATATACATAGCCTTTGATTGCTGGTGGGTACTCTCACCACCTTTCCTTACAGGACAGTAAGGTAACAGTAGAGCTGCTGCCATTGATTACAAGCTAGTGCCAGGTGTTGATTTCTGCCCTTCACATCCACTGTCTCACCTGTCTTCACATCCCCCCTCTGAGTATACCATTGTTTCCATCCTACGTGAACACAGTGACTCTGCTCAGAGAGCCCTGGACACATACTGAGAAGAGATTCGGCCTTTCTGGGACCAGTGGTGGCCTAATCATGAACTCAGCAGGTGACCGAGTTTAGATCTGGACTCACTATTCCACCCTCTGGAGAGAACCCTTGTAGAAACCACAGACCAATCTACCAGTTTTCCTGAAAGGCTGAGCATTTCACATCCTGATCACTTCTAGTTCAATGGGAGAAGAAATGGAGTCTCTGAAAGTTGGAGTGACCCAAGACCACCTTGTTGACACATGTAGCAGACCTTGGTGAAAGGGCTCCTTGTACTTGCCCAAAGTTATCTGGACTTTCAACTATATTGTTGTTGTTGTTGTTAAGTGCCTTCTTTCTCTGGTCTCATATAGATACCTTGGGAATCAACTGAACAGCACACAACAACAGTACTAGTTTGGGGCCCTGGTGGCACAAGGGTTAAGCACATAGCTGCTAACTGAAAGGTTGGTGGTTCAAACCCACCCAGCAGCTCAAACCCACCCAGCAGCTCCATGACAAAAAGATCTGGTTATCTTCCACCGTAAAGATTTATAGCCTAAGAAACCCTATGTAGCAGTTCTACTCTGTAACACATGAGTCACTATGACTTGGAATCAGCCGCATGGCTTACAACAACAACAATCCTAGTTTACCTGTGGTCCATCTCTACATCTGTTCTCATTTTCTTGTACTTCTTCAGTGGGAGGATTTCTTCTTACTTCTCTTAAATCGATACTCGTTCATTATATGTCAGTGTTTTCTAGGGTTGTTGTTGTTATGTGCCATCAAGTCGGACCTGACTCATAGCGACCCCTCCTTGGGTTTCCGAGGCAGTATCACTATGGAAGTAGATTGCCCCATCTTCCTTCTGAGGAGTGGCTGGTGGGTTTGAACCACCAGCCTTTTGGTTAGCAGTCAAGTGCCTTAGCCACTATGCTACCAGAGCTCCTAGGGTAGCAGCATTTATATATTAAAATGCATGTTTTGTTATAAATTGTTTTCTTTATTCTCTTTCACCTTATGTTGTTGCTGGGTGCCACAGAGTTGATTCTGACTCATAGCGACCCCATGTGACCCAGTAGAACTGTCCCATAGGGTTTTCTTGTCTGTAATCTTTACAGGAGCACATCACCAGGTCTTTTCTCCTACAGAGCTTCTGAATGGGTTTGAATCATCAACCTTTGGCTAGCAGCCAAGTGCTTAACTGCTGTCCCACCAGGAGTCCTTCTTTTACCTTATTGTTGGGGCATTACATTTATTTACTTAGCTATCCTGGTGTGTATGGGTATATGAAGTCATTCCTGAGTTTCATTTCAGGAGATGTGGTAACGGGGACACTGCATAATACTTGTATATAAAAGGGCCGGGAGTCAACAGGTGAGGACCAGCCATGTGGTCTAGGGTGCTGGTTCTATGCCAATGCCTTCCCACCTCCCTGCCAAGTCCCAGTGGTCAAATGGGCAGATAACGTGGTCCTAACCTGGAAGAGCAGCGCCAGTGTTAGCCCGAGGCAGGCCAAGCCACAGATGCCATAGCCAGTCAGCAGGAGGCACCTCCGCCCCAGCAGCTCCACGATACCGGCCTACAGGGGAAAGTGCAGAAAGGAGCTCGAGGTGAGAAGTGCCATAGGCTCCGGGGCCTTCAAGCTGGGCCCCTGCATCCCCATCCCTCTTCCCACCACTCCTCAAACATCCCTTTGATAGCCCTGCTGCTGGCAGCTTGGACCACAGGCTGCTTATTTGGACGTGAGGTTGATGGTCATGCAGTCAGACTCTGCACCCACTGCCAGTCACTGTCCCAGTCATCTGTGGTCCCCTAGATTTCACCCCCTATTCCTCCTGGCTGCTCAAATGGACATTCACACTGCTCAGAATCTGGCCTCATGGTGGGAGGGCCACGCATCCCCATTCATTTTCCAGGGTTCTTCCTAGACAGGAACTTCCCACTCCCTGCCTAGTGGGCCTCTTCTCTGGTATAGCAAGTGTGGGCCCTGGCCCTTCCTACTGGCCTCCTTTCTTTAGTTCTAATACTCTTTCCATCCCTGCTCCAGCCCACCACTACCCTCACTGACAGTGGGCACTCATCAAGGGCCTACTCAGTGCCCATGTTTACCCATTTCACTCCTGCTTCTCCAACAACCCTAAAGGAGGAGACTGTCATCACCACTCAGTGAGCACTACTCGACCAGTATCTTATGAAAAAGGGAGGGAAAGGTCTGAGATCAGCTTCGTCTCCAGCCTAATCCTCAGGAGTTGCTCCTCCAGGAGAGAAAGGCAGGGTCCTCTGTGTTTCTGGCTTGAGTTTCTCCAGGTAGCAGGATGGGAAGAAGGTTCTGTTGTTGTTGTTGTGTGCCATCGAGTCGGACCTGACTCATAGCGACCCTCCTTGGGTTTCTGAGGCAGTATCACTACGGAAGTAGATTGCCCCATCTTCCTTCTGAGGAGTGGCTGGTGGGTTTGAACTGCCAGCCTTCTGGTTAGCAGTCAAGTGCCTTAGCCACTATGCTACCAGAGCTCCCAAGAAGGTTCTAGTCATGATTATTTGTCCTAGGGGAGGAGGGCTCAGATGACAGAATGGCCCTGTCCCAAAGGGCAACAGGGAGGGGAGCTAAGGGATCCAGCAGGAGGAAGGGGTGGGCAGACTCTGGGGAAGGGTCTGGAATCAGGCCAGGACCTGCTCCTCCTTCCCTCCTTCAGTTCTCCCATCATCCTCTGCTGCTGTCTTTAACTCCCACCCCTGTCTCCGTTACATTCTAAATCCTCTGGAAATTGACTGAGGCTTAAACTAGCTCTGGGGAAAACATAAATAAGTAATACATTTTCAGAAGGTTAGCCTCACAGGTAACCCAAGATCCAGGACTTAAAATAATAAGAAGAAAGCTTGAGAAAGCCCTAAAGAAAGGCCTATCCTAATCATGTACCTCTAAGGAATGCACTTCGTCAATTCAACCTTTTCATGATGCATGTAAATCATGGCCTAAGTGAATCACACTTTCAGATACCAAACTCTGAAGTAATAGTATTACACCAATAAGAAAGAGCGCCACTATCAGAACATGGTATTACAATCACTGTAACCATTCCACAAAGGAAGAAACTTGGACATGAAGTTATTTGAGTGACCTGCTTGAGGTCACACAGCTAAGAAGTCCATGTGCATGTCCCTCAGGCCACCCCAGGGCCAGCACTGCCACCACACCTAAGATGACTCTGTGGGGCTCCTGTGTTCATCCCTAGTCACTCACTGAGATGACAGTCATCACTATGTTGACCACGCCGGCCCCCACCGTGACGTACTGGGAATGTGCGGCATCCACCCCTGCCGAGGCATAGATCATGTCTGCGTAGTAGTTGATCTAAAACAAAAGCACAGGGGCTGTGAGGAGAGGCTCTGAGACCCAGCCTGTGGCTTAAGTATGACTTAATGTCTGGTAGCATAGTGCCTAAGGCATTTGACTGATAACCAGAAGGCTGGCGGTTCAAACACACCAGCCACTCCTCGGAAGGAAGATGGGGCAATCTACTTCCGTAGTGATACTGCCTCGGAAACCCAAGGAGGGGTCGCTTTGAGTCGGGTCCAACTCAATGGCACATAACAACAACAACAAGAAGCAACAGATGGTCCTGGAAGCCTGCATGTGAGTGCCTTGGACAGGAAGGAGGAGGCAGGTTGTGGGGAAAAGGGCCATGAACTGGAGTCAGGAGACCTGGGGTGGAGTCTGGCTCTTCCCTTTGCTGAGCCTCAGTTTCTGCATCCGTGCAATGGGCTGGATGTAGAGCTGGAGTAGACCATCTCTGCTGTTATTGCTGTTGTTAGCTGCCATTGAGTTCATCCCTCACTCCTGGCCCCCGTATTTTATACAGTAGAACTGCTCCATAGGGTTTTCTTAGCTGAAAGACCCGGGGATCTGCTACTTTAACCTTACAGCCAGGAAAACCCTGTGGGGCAGTTCTATTCTCTAACACACAGAGTTGCCATGAGTCAAAAACAACTCCACAGCACCCAACAACACTAATCTTTATAGAAGCTGTTCACCAAACCTTTCTTCCATGGAGTTGCTGGGTGAGTTCAAACTACCCACCTTTGGGTTAGCAGCCAGTAGCAAACTGCTTGGGCTATCCAGACTCCCAGTCCCTCTCTCATCTGATGCTTTGTATTCTACCATCTCAGGTCCCCTACAATGGTTTCTTGCTTCTCATTCTGGGCCAAACCAACCCCAAACTTAGCTTCTCTTCTGGCTCAGCCCCAATCATAGTCTCATATACACCGTTCTGAAAGCCACAGGTGCTGTTTCCCATTTGGGGGTTCCTGCCTGGGCTGCTCACTTCTCCTAAGGTCACTTGTTAAACATCCATGAATCCTCAAAGGCCCAGTTCAAAAGCCACCTCCCTCCTGACACTATCCTCTGGCATCAGTTGGGCTAGTCACTCAACCTCCTGTTTCCTGGAAGTGACCCCCATTTTTTCAGATCTACATCCTTCATTCCACACGATCAGTAGATTCAGTTACAGTAAAAGCAATCACACTCACACAAAGTGATGCCAACATCGGTCATGGCTGCGTGAGCTTGGGGTGGGTCCCTGGCCCAGGGTGGGCCAACGACTTACCTTCCAGGAACCCAGCTCCATCTCCGTCTAACTGGTCTCTTGTACAGAGGGGAAAGGACTATTGGCAAGAGGTTTATTCTCTTGGGGAAGCCTAGAAAATTGTTCTGGAGCAAGAGAAGATGACTGCAGGTGTGTGGGGAGAGGTGGAGCTGGGAGACAGAGAGCCTAAACTCTTCCCAGGGCTGCCTGTTACATGCAAACAAAATGTCCTGAGCAATAAAGTGTGACCACCTGTCACAACCCTCATTTGGAACTTTGGCTCATGCACAGAGTCCCCAACTCATCTTGCTTTTGCTCTTCCTGGATGCAGAGCAGAACTTTGCACACAGAAAGAATACTAAGGAGACAGTGGTGGCTTGGGGGTAGATTTCTCGCCTTCCATGCAGGACACCCGAGTTTGGTTTCTGCCAATGCACATCATATGCAGCCACCACCCGTCTATCAGTTGCTATGATGCTAAGTAGATTTCGGAAGAACTTCCAGATTGTGATGGACAAGGAATAAAGGCTTGGTGGTCTACTTCTGAAATATCAGCCAATGAAAATATTATGGATCACAGCAGTCTAATTGGCAGCTGATCAGCTGGCACAGAACCAGGAAGCATTATGGTCTGTTGCTTGTGGAGTTACCATGAATTGGATACTGACTTGACAGCAGCTACACACACACACACACACACACACACACACACCCCTACACTCACTGCCGTCAAGTCAGTTCTGACTCATAGGAACCTCTCCTTGGGTTTCTGAGGTGGTATCTCTACAGAAGTAGATTGCCCAATCTTCCTCCCAAGGAATGGCTGGTGGGTTGAATTCCCAGCCTTCTGGTTAGCAGTCAAATGCCTTAGGTACTAGGCCACCAGAGCTCCCTGACAGCAGGTAACAATAGCTATGTCAATACTATCCATGATATTGTTGCTAGGTGCCGTTGGGCCCATTTTGACCCCCAGCAGCCCTCTGTGACAAGAGAGAAGTGCCCCAGAGGGTTTTCCAGGCTATACTCTTCACAGCAGCGGAGCACTGGTTCTTTCTCCTGAAGAGCCACTGGGAGGGTTCAAATCTCCAACCTTTCGGTTAGCAGCTGAGTGCTTAACCACTACACCACCAGGGCTCCTTGAACACTACCCATAATACTTCACTAAATGTTTCTTAACTAAATCAAAACTGCCTTTTAGTGTGTAACAGTAGCCATGTGCACAGAAAGCAGTCCACCCAGGGCTGACCCCTTCTCGCCAACACTGGCCCACTGCTCTGGCCTCAGTGGCCATCCCCACAGCCCAACGTACTGCATTAACTCCCGAGAGCTGCTGCCCGGCCATCAGCACAATGATGGAGACGAGCTGCCATCGCAGAGGCCGGAATGTGAAGAGGTTGAGCACGGACAGGCGGCCCTCAGCCTTCTCAGCCCAGGCCTCCAGACGCATTTCCTCCATCTCATCCTCCACGTCAGCCTGGCCGCGCAGTGCCCTCAGAGCTGTGGGAGAGAAGAGTGTATATGCCAGCATGGCCCAGCCTCCCGCACAGCAGCCTTATCAGAGTTTAAGGACAAATGGGGCTCCCTCTTGCCTCTGAGGCCTTTCCACTCTGGCTGTAGGTTGGCTGTCTCCCTAGTGCTAAGTGCTCACCTGTCCCTAACTAGGTCCCAATGCTGTGACCATGTTCCCATACCTGATCAAACTCTTGGCTCTCAATATGCTGACCAACTCTGATCCCATCTCTTACTCTTGGTACAGTTTCAGCCTGGGGTGGCCAATCCTATCCACAGACCCCCTCCATCCCTGCCCTTCCACCCTCCAGGGGCCTGCATCTCCTGCACACCTCTCAGCCTGTTCTCTGCTCTGAGCAGGACTGGGGAGGGACAGATTGGCCGGCATCGGGGTGGGGTAGGGAGGGAAGGCACTGGAGGGCTCTGAAGGAGCTGCCTGCATCACAAATACCTTGTCGAGCTGTGTCCTCATCTCTTTTCTGAATCAGGGTATAGCGGGGACTCTCGGGAAAGAAGGGAAGGGTCAGGAGTTGAAGCAGTGCGGGAATCCCTGTGATGGCGAAGAGCACAGGCCAACCTGGAAGAAAGCAACACCATGAACTTGAAACCCTAGTGGGCCAGGGACCCCTGGGGCTCCAAGCATCCCTTGCTGACCTTCCACCAGAACTCTCTTCTCTTAGAAGTTCACTCGCTCATGATGTCTCAGCTCTTGGTGAGAACCAAGAACAGTAGGGACATAGTCCTTGCCAAGATGTAGCTGCCCAGGGCCTACCCACAAAGGGGTGCCACATTAAAGATGGAAAAAATAATTATAATAGGAAAAAAGTACATGTACTATTAATTCATTTTGCAAGAAGAGTGTTGCTTTTCTTGGGAATAGTGTATGGTTTACAAGTTTGAGCCCTAGAGATGTGAAGTCACATTTGTTCCAATGTTATGGTTGGAAAGTGTTTGTGTGTATTGGGGGGTGGGGGAATCCCAGTGCTCTGATTGTGTGAGCTCCTTCTGGAAGGTGGTACAGAGATTTGACTGAGAGTCCATATGTACAAGACCACCTCCCACCATGCTAGCTAGGATGTGAACTGCAAGGTGAGTGAGCCTCTCTAAGCCTCACCCTTCTCATCATTGAAATAAATGCATAAGGAGTGGAGGGGATTGAGACCACACTCTTTAAGCCCCCAATGTCAGCTGCATGGAGTTGGCTAGGACTCATGGCAACTCCACATGTGTCAGAGTAGAACTGACATAGGCTTTCCAATCCAGATAGATAGATAGATAGGTATACACACACACACATACACACACCAAAAAAAAAAAAAAAAAAACCAACCTGTTGCCATAGAGTCAATTCTGACTTGTAACCACAATATAGGACAGAGTAGAACTGCCCCATAGAGTTTCCAAGGCTGTAAATCCTTAGGGAAGCAGACTGCCTCATCTTTCTCCCATGGAGCAGCTGCTGCATTCGAAACGTTGACCTTTTGGTTAGCAGTCAGGCACTTAACCACTGCACCACCAGAGCTTTTGTTGTTGTTAGGTGCCATCGAGTCATCTCCGACTCATAGCAACCCTATGTACAATAGAACAAAACACTGCCCGGTCCTGTGCCAGCCTCATAATCCCTGCTATACCTGAGCCCATCGTTGCATCCACTTTGTCAATCCATCTTATTGAAGGCCTTCCCCTTTTTCATTGACCCTGTACTTTACCAAGCATGATATCCTTCTCCAGGGAATGGTTCCTTCTGACAACCTGACCAAAGTAGGTGAGATGAAGTTTGGCCACTCTCGCTTCCAAGAGCTTTGATATACATATAAAACATGGTGTTGTTGCTAGGCACCACGGAGTCCGTTCCCACTCATAGCAACACCATGTATGACAGAACGAAACACTGCCTAATCCTGCACCATCCTCACAATTGTTGCTATGCTTGAGCCCGTTGTCACGCCATAGTGTCAATCCATCTTGCTGAGTCTTCCTCTTTTTCTGATCCTCTACTTCACCAAGGATTATATATATATATATACACACATGTATATATAGAGATAGATATATACCATACGTATGTATATACCATATATATATATGTGTGTGTCTACCACATTTTTCCATAAATAACAGCCCACATAAAATAGTGTGCACATGCATATTATGTACATAGTTGGCATAAGAAACTTAACATCTGAGGGGGTTGTGTGGTTTGTCAAAACTATAATGTGTGTGTTATTTGTGCAAAATTCTGTATGTGTGTATTTACATATGTTTTAGTTGCCATTGAGTCAACTCCTACACACATGATGACCTCATGTGTACAGAGTAAAACTGCTCCATAGGGTTTTTAAGGTTGTGAACTGTCAGAAGCAGATCACCAGGTCTGTCTTGTGAGGACCCTCTAGTTGGATTTGAACCACCAACCTTTCAGCTAGTATCCAGATCCTTAACCATGTGTGCCACTCACAGACTTCATGGAGTTTTCAATGACTGGTTTTTCAGAAGTAGATCACCAGCCCTTTCTTCCCAGGAGTCTCTGGGTGAATTTGAACCTCCAACTTTTTGGTTAGTAACTGACTGCTTAACCATTTGCACCACTCAGGGATTGCTAAGCACATACTACTCAGTGGCTGTTAGGAGTAATAGGCCAGTGTGGCTTTTTTCACATCCCCTGGGATTGAAGCTTCTCACTGAAATGGAGTGTTTGTCAAGTACACTGGGGCAGTTTGGGAATCATTCTCCCTAAGGATCTTCCGTTGGGCACCATTGAGTTCTGAGGCTCAGAGTCTCCTCAAGGAACTGAGAGGACTGCAGAGACATTGATGCATCTGTGGTGGTTATGTTTGTGTGTCAACTTAGCTGGGCCTGGTTGAGTGGCTGGGCAGCTGGTGGTAGTTATTCCCCATGATGAGACAGGCAATCAACTCCTTGGTGGGATCTACCACAAGCAGCTGAGTAGCTGTCTTTGGGTGTGTGGGCTGCTTCCCGTATATAAGAAGCAGTTTTGGGCATGGTCTCCAGCTTATGGCATGCTTGAACCCTGCATGTAGCTGTGTCATTGTTCAGCAGCCTGCCATGCTCTGCTGACCTTGGGACTTACAATGGACTTGAATTAATGCCCATTTGTGGTATATTCTTGTCAGAGCGGCACTAGGTAACCAGAACAGCATCCGTTAAGTAAATTTGTAAAATTCAGGTGATTTGAAAATGTTTATATAAAAAAAGAAAATAATCACTATGTTCACATAGGGCTTAAAGCTGGCCTGCATACAAGCTCTGTGTTCTGGCTCCTTCACTTGCCCATGATCCCGTTTCTTACCGTTTCATAGTTTCTCTTCTCTCCTCCGGCATCTGCTGCATCTTTCCCACCCTTACTCTAAGGCTTTCATCTATAAGTACCACGTCCACCCATGTGATGGTAACAGTGGTTGTACTCGTTCGCTCCTGCATATATCTCTCTCGTTATTAGACCACTCCTGCTGCCTAAACCCTCAGCGGCTCACTGAAGGGTCGGTGCTTGGAACCCACCCAGCAGCTCCGTGGAAGACAGACCTGGTGATGTGCTTCTGTAAAGATTACAGCCTAGAAAACCCTATTGGGCACTTCCACTCTGTCACATGGGGTTGCTATGAGTCGGAATCAAATCAACAGCACATGACAACAGGGCCTTCAAGTGCACCACTATTTCTCTTAACTGGGAAGAAAAATCCCTCCTCTCTCGACCTCACTGCCCCTTCAGCTACCGCCCCACTTTTCTCCTTCCCTTTATAGCCAAGTTCATAAGAGCTGTCTCTATGGCCTGTCTCCTATTCTTCCCCTCCCATGGGCTCTTGAACACCCTTCAAGCATGCTTTGCCCCATCACCCCACCAAGACTGAACTTCTCATGGTCACTAGTGTCAGCCAAGATCCACATGCCTGATTCCAAAGTCAACTCTCAGTCCTCATCTGGCCTAACCCATTGGCAGCACTGGGCACAGCTAGATGAGAGGCTGACCCGGTGCACCTATGGTTCTGGTGTATGCCCCTTTCCCCACCCCCAGGCCTCTGTGCACTGCTGGTTGGTTACCTGTGGGATTCCCAAGGATGGCCTGCAGGCTGAAGATCTGAGCTAGGAAGACCCCAGTGATGACAAAGACCTCAGTCATAGTCCCCAAGGTGCCTCTCAGGTTCTTGGGAGCCAGTTCTCCCAGGTACATGGGAAGGGCACTGTAGGATATGCCTAGTTTGGGCAAAACAAAATCAGAAGAGGAAAGAGCAGCCCCCAGCTCCTGTGACCAGGGCTAGGATTTAATTCAATCCTATTTCATAATCTTCATGGAGTCAGTCCTCACTGGCAGTGTTATGGACTAAAGTGTCCCCCCACCCAAAACATGTGTTGAAATCCTAAGCCCTATACCTATAATTGGGGATCTCTGGTAGCACAGTGGATAAGACACTTGCCTGCTAACCAGATGGCTGGCGGTTCAAACCCACCAGCCACTCCTCGGAAGGAAGGTTGGGCAATCCTACTTCCGTAGTGATAGTGATACTGCCTCGGAAACCCAAGGAGGTCGCTATGAGTCAGGTTTGACTCGACGGCACATAACAACAACATAACAACATATCTATAATTATGGCTCTGTTTGAAAATAGAGTTTTCTTTTATGTTAATGAGGTCATACTAGTATAGGGTCGGTCCTAAACCTAATCACTTCTGAGTTATAAAGACCAGCATAGACATAGAGACATACATGGGGGAAGACAGATAGCAAGGAATGCCAAGTCTGACCAGCAGATGCCAGAAACTAGAAGAAAGGCTCACAGCATTGATAGGACTGAGACCGTGATTTGGACTTTTATCCCCCACAACTGTGAGAAAATAAATGCCTGCCCTTTAAAGCTATCACTTGTGGTCTTTCTGTTACCCAGTGCAGCACTGGGAGACAAAGACAGGGAGGAGCCCATCCCTGCCTCCCCTCAGATCCAATCTTAGGTGCTTAGAACTCATAAGGAAACCCCTTCACTGCACTCAGACCACCATGGGGACATCTGGGGTGTGACAAAAATACCCACACCTTCCTCATCAGAGAACAGGGGTTGTTTATGGCATGGGAGGATCTAAGACCATGGTGTGTCTCTAGGGGGTGGGACTTAAAGACAACCTTTTGCTTGGGTTTATTTTCTATTTTTTTCTAAATCATATATTATTTGTATAACTTTTTTTTTTTTTTTTTTTACTGAAAGAATCTGTTACAGTTAAGAAATGTCATTTGCTGCTGAGGCCCCAGATTCTTTGTGCATTTGTTTGACATCCCAACCCTCAGTTTAGTACATCCTTCTCACAGATATCTTGTAAAGCCTATCAGTTATTTATCCCTGAAGGTAAAATTGTGGTCCAAGCTTGTTGCCATTGAGTTAATTCTAACTCATCGCAACCTCATGTATTACAGAGTAGCACTAAGCTCTGTAGGGTTTTCTTGGTTGTAATCTTTATGGAAGTAGATCCTCAGCACTCCTGGGGGGAGGGGGGTTCAAACCGCTAACCTTTACGTTAGTCACTGCCATTGAGTCAGATGCAACTCATAGTGACCCCTCCTTGGGTTTCCGAGGTGCTATCACTATGGGAGTAGATTGGCCAACCTTCCTTCTGAGGAGTGGCTGGTGGGTTTGAACTCCAGCCTTCTGGTTAGCAGTCAAATGCCTTAGGCACCATGCCACCAGAGCTCCTAGTGCAAATCCTTTGTGCCACCTAGGGACCTTTCAAATAACAAGATGTTGCTATTTCTTCTTGTCCCTGGGTGTCATAGTTTGTCCTTACCTGGTAAACAAAAGATTGCTGGTTCAAACCCACCCAGCAGCACCATGCAACAGAAGAAAAGGCCTGGCTATCTGCTTCTGTAAAGATCACAGTCAAGAAAACCCTATGGAGCGTGGGGTTGCCATGAGTTGGAATCAACTTGATGATATAAAACAACACCATTCTTCCTGATTCTGAACTTTGCTGAGCAGCTGCAACCCTTAGATTTCCCATGAGTTTGTTCATGCAGCTGCCATCAGCCAGAGGCTTGGCTGGGCCGGAAGGTCCAAGATACCTCCCCACCTATCTGCAGGGCTAGGCGTCTCTGGTTGCCTCAGTGCTCCATGTCCCTTCATCTCCTAGTAAGCTAGACTGGCTTCCTCACATGGCTATCTTAGGGCAAGTTCCCAAGAACTACAAGTGTGTTTTTAAAGATCTCTCCCTGATTAAAGATTTTGTTAAGTTAAAGGAGGGTATGTAGTTCACAAGGCCTGAAGACCGAGACAGGTGGCCGTCCCCAAGGTGGAAAGACCCAGACTGAGCCAGAAGAGCCGAAAGGAGCCGGCCTCCCACCAGTCCTAGTTCCAGCCTCAGCCAATGGGGTTGGGGGTGTCTATTTACACAAGCTAGGCATCAGCTGTCACCCCAGGTACCTGCACAGATGCCCAGCACCACTCGAGAAAAGATGATCAGCTCAAAAGCCTTGGCCACTTGGCTAACTCCCATGAGGATGGCAGGGACGATGGCAAAGATGTTGTTGATCAGGAGGGTCCCCTTTCTGCAACAACAGCGAGTCCAGAGGGCAGGGGGCTGAGGTGGCAGGAGCTCCCCTGACACCACCTCATATTCTCCAAATCAGTCATTCAGAGGTGCTGGCAGTGTGCCTGAGGAAGGGATGATGGATGGGAAGAATGGGAAAGCAAGGACAAATGGGCAGGAGTGCCAGGAAGGAAGATTTGGGATGGGAGGAAAGCATTCTAGCAATCAGGAAGGAAACATGAGGTAGAGAGCTCCCTGTCACTGGTAGTATTCAAGCAAAGGCTAGATTAGAACTATTACCAGGAATGTTGAAGAGGGGATTCCTATATTGGGTAGAGAGTTGGATTAGATGGTCTCTAAAGTTCCCTCCAAGGTGGAAATGAAAGTGAGGATGTGAGTGTCTGAAAAATAGCACTATGCTGGGTGCCCCCTGTCTGCCCATTTGATGATCCACCCCCGTTCTCCTCGCTATTTCCCCCAATGCTGACTTGTATCAGTGGCTCCTTTGCCCCTTCCCCCTCACCTTTGTCATGGGTTTTGCCAAAGGATATCAGCAGTGGGTCAGAAGGAGGGAAGGGAGCCCGCTTGCTGTGGGTGGCAGTGGCTAGCTGGTCTCCCCAAAGCTCCCTCTGCCTCCAGGAGCAGGTTACTGCTTCTCCCTTGTCCCCTCCAGGTTGAAGGTGGTAGGGCTGTCAACAGCCCCGGTTCACTGCACTGTCCTTTGGGATTTCCCCACACTGTCCAGGCCTATGAGTGCCACAGGGACACAACTGACACAGGTGTTCCAAGTCAGCCAAGCCAGGAGGGTGGGCTCTGGAGCCAGGAGATGGATTGGTGGGGTCTCTAAACAGAAACCCAGAAACCTCTCCAGCTGAGTGGGCTACATGACAATCAGCAGAGACCCAGCCTGGCTTCCTCAGGGCCCTCTTCTCTCCCTGGGGCTGCCACAGCCCTAAGGGATCTGCCCAGCAGAGCTCACACCAGCCCTGAGGCCCAGCCGCCCAGCCTTTCTGACTCCAGTAACTGAGTTAGCCTCAGAGAAGCTCAGGCTATCGGAACCACAAGAACAAGCAAGCCTGGCTTCACGGGGCCTCCTGGGCCTCGGCCTCCTCATCTGCCCACTAAGCGAGGTAAGAAGCCCAGTCTCTGAGATTCCTCAGCTGCAGAAGTTCCGTGACTGTGGGGTTCAAGCAGGGAAGGGGAGGCCAAGCCTGGGCTTCTTGAACATTCTGCCACTGCAAATGGCCTCACTGAAAGCAGTGCAATCCAAATTACTAAAACCTGAGTTATGAAATAATGACAACATATTGAATGTTTTCTTCATTCAAGTACACGTAGTATGGCAAATTAACTGTTCATCAAGTATTTAGGAAAAGAGGTTCTATGGGACCTGCTTTCATAAATAGATCATTTTCAATTGGCCATAGTTTCTTTTGTGCATGAAAATGCAATGTGCTGAGGTTCTTTAAAAATCTTTTTTCTCATTTACCTCAAGTAGACACACGCCCTGGAGAGAACAATCATGGGAGAAGGAAGGGCTGCTTATGCACAGGGAGATAGCTCAGGGTGCAGAAGAGTATGAAGGGATGGACACTGGGAGGAGGTAACTATGGGGAGGAAGTGGGAGGGGAGCTGCTGCATTGTAAATTTTGGTCAATGACATGAGACAAAGTATATGTGAACTGCTGTATGAAAAGTGAATTTACTCTGTAAATCTTCACCCAAATCCTAATAAAAAAAAAAAAAAAACTTTTTTTTTTTCACGAGCTTTCCACTCCCTCTTATAAATTGCCTGACTTGGCACATCCAAGTCCAAGTGTGATTGTGAATTCCAAATAAGTGGGACCTAGATGAAGGAAATCTCCTGAGCTGAGCCCTGCAACCAGAGCTCACACTTTTCCTTCCTGGGAACCTTGACCTGTGTGTCTGCCCTTATCTGTGGAGTCACGCCTTTGGAGCACCAGGGCTTAAGTATGAAGATTACTGGGTCCATGGAAGCCAAGCAAAGTACAAAGACTATTTTCATTTCCAAATAAGACATGAAACAGTAGCACGTGGAGTGATTCAACCTGAATCCCAAACTTTAGGACAACAAAACTCTTATGAGGCCCCTGGGAGAGGCTACCACTGTTATATCCTAGAACCCCAAGCACCTGACCTTTAAATCAAAGCCCAATCAACAAGCATTCATTGAATGCTTTGAACATCTGCTAGAAGTGCTTACAAAACACTATGCTAAGCACCTCAAGAACTTTGATCTCAAGGACTCTACCACCTCTGTGGGTTAGAAGATAGGTGAGACCTTTATTCCCATGCAACTGACTGTTGTTATTATTAGCTGCTGTCAAATCTCCTGACTCATGACAACCCCCTGAACACTGGGAACAGACCATTGTGATCTCTAGGGTTTTCACTGGCTGATTTTCAGAAGGAGATCACCAGGCCTTTCTTCCTAGGCCATTTTGGTCTGGAAGCTCTGCTGAAACCTGTTCAGAATCACAGCAACACACAAGCTTCCACTTACAGACGGGTGGTGGCTGCACTTGAGGTACATTGGCCAGGAATCAAACCTGGGTCTCCCACATGGAAGGTGAGAATTCTACCACTGAACCACCACTGCCCTCATATGCAACTGATCAGGAAAAGAAAGCCCAGAGGAATTTAGGGCTTGCTTTAACGTCATGGTGTCATGGTAAAGTGGGGACCAGACTTTAGACCTCTGATCTTCAGGCTTGCACCATCTCCCTACCACACATGCCAGTCACCAGGAGAAGATGGGGTTCACTAACATGAATTTTAAAGGAGCAGCAGGCCTCCTGTTTGCTTACCTGCCACACTTATCAACCAGCAGGCCAACGACCAGCGACCCCAACAAGCCACCGAGAGGAAACATGGACACGGTGCAAGACCACAGAAGCAGCATGGCCTTCTCATCCATGAATGTCCCTTGCCGCTCGAAGTAGGTTTCGTTATAAAATGACTTCAAGACCTGAAAAACATGGCCCCATCCCCAGCAAAGAGTATTTCATGTAGCCTAAGTGATCTTGTTGCACTGAGAAATGTTTCTGTCAATACTTCCCAGGATACAATTGAACCTGCTCCTTCTCTGCTGTTATGCAAGTTAAAAATCTACTATATGACTGTGGTCGTTAAATTTGCGTGTCAACTTGGCTGGGCCTGGTTGAATGGCTGGGCAGCTGAATGTAATTACTCCCCATGGTGAGTTTAGTAATTAAGTCCTTGGTGGAATCTATTGGAGCAGCTGAGTAGCTGCTTTGGGTATGTGGTCTGCTTTCCATATATAAGGACAGCTTTGGGAATGGTCTCCAGCTTATGGCATGCTTGAACCCTGCATGTAGCCATGTCGTTGTTCAGTAGCCTGCTATGCTCTGCCTACCTTGGGACTTTCAATGGACTTGAATTAATGGCCTGTCGTGTGGTTTGGTAACATCAGGACTGTGCCTTTTTACTTGTCAGCTTTAGGCTTGTCAGTCTCAGCAGCCAGCAACTGTCTGAGTGAAGAAAAGCCTTTAGCTCCAGTGGGCCAGGAGCAGGAGGCAGAGCTGAACCCCAAGGTTGAGTGGCTTTCACCCAGCCCCTAGAGCCTGGCACTTTGAACTTGGACTTAAAGTCTCCAAACTGTAAGAGAATAAATTCCTGTTGCTTCAAGCCATCCTGTTTGTGGTATATTCTTGTAAGAGCGGCACTAGGTAAGCAGAACAATGACTGTTGAGATGAGGAGCCAAACTGCAGAAAGTCTTTTGCTATCTGTTAGAGAATTCGCTTTTCAGAGCCTTACCCTGCAAGATGCAGCCTAAGAAATATTCTTACCAATTGTATGACTTTGGGCAAGTTATATAGTCTCTGTAAGCTTGCATTTTCTCATTGGTAATAGAGATGGTATATATTCTTAGGGAATCTGTGAGCATTAAATGTGATAATGTAATGGTACATTGCTTGACTAACAAAAGATGTTCCATCAATGATAGTGATTGTACATATCTGAATATATAGCATAAGCTATTACCATAGCACTTTCTATAGCAGTCAACTGAATGAGGTGTAGCTCTAAATTAATGACATTGATTTTTAAAAATACAGCAGAACTCACATATGCAAATGAATAGTAATTGTACCTGTTCCCCCTGAAACACCGGGTCTGGTCCTGTCTGGCCCTTTTAGGGACTTCCTGCCTACAATTGTTCCCTCTCTGCTCTGCATCATTGGTCCTCTCTCCATCCCTTCCTTACAATCACCACACAAACATGGCTTCTACCTGATAAAATCTTGACTTGACCCCCTCATCTCACTCCAGATTATTGTTGTTGTTGTTGTTGTTAGCTGTTGTTGAGTCAGCTCTGACCTGCGGTGACCTTATGTCGGGTCCTGTGCCACCTTCCTGACCATTGGTTTGTTTAACTCCATTGTTTTGGCTATTGTGTCAATCCATTTCACTGGGGGTGTCCCTTGTTTTTTGCTCACCCTGTACTTTACCAAGGAGCTCTGGTAGTGTAGTGCCTAAGGCATTTGCCTGCTAACTAGAAGGTTGGCAGTTCAAACCCACCAGCCATTCCTCGGAACAAAGATTGGGTGATCTACTTCTGTAGTGATACCGCCTCAGAGACCCAAGGAGGGATTGCTATGGTTGGAACCGACTCGACGACAGTGAGTTTGGTTTTTGGTTGGTACTTTACCAACTATGATGTCCTTTCCTAGTGATGGGTCTTTCCAGATCACATGTCCAAAGTAAGTCAAATTCTCTCCATCCTTGCGTTTAAAGAGCATTCTGGTTATATTTCTTCTAAGACTGATTTGTTCATTCACATAAGTTCTTCCAGGTAAGCTCACTTTGTTTGCTCCCTGTGAGAGCAAAACTCCAAAAAGTGATCTGTACTCTCTGTCTCTACTTCATCTCATTTCATCCTCATTTCAGCAAAGAATGCTGAAAGTACCATGACAGCCAGGAGAACTAAATCTGTCCTGGAAGAAGTGCAGCCGGAATGCTCCTTGTCAGTGAGAATGGTCAGACTTCTTTTCACCTACTTGGTCATATCCTGCAGAAGGATACCATGCTTGGTAAAGTGGAGGGTCAGTGAAAAAGGGGAAGACCCTCAATGAGATGAACTGACACAGTAACTGCAACAATGGGCTCAGGTATAGCAAGGATTGTGAGGCTGGTGCAGGACCAGGCAGTGTTTCATTCTGTTGTCAATATGAGTCAGAGCCAACTAGACGGCACCTAACAACAACAACATTCTCTCTTGAACCCACTTCAATCACGATTTTGTGTCCAACTCTCACCTCAGCTGCTCTTGCAGGGTCACCCATATCACAAGATCAAAGCCGGTGGCCAGTTCTCAGTCCTCATCTTGACCCTCTCTCTCTCTCCTTGACTCACAGCCTTTACCACGCTTTGAGGACACTCTGCCCCTGCTTCTCTTCCACCTGAGAGGCCCCTCCTCTGCATGCTTTGTTTTCCTTCTCCCTAATTGCGATTGTTGTTGTTATGTGCTGTGGAGTCAGACCTGACTCGTAGCGACCCCCCACCTTGGGTTTCCAAGGAGGTATCTCTGCGGAAGTAGATTGCCCAAACTTCCTTCCGAGAAGTGGCTGGTGGGTTTGAACCACCAGCATTCTGGTTAGCAGTCAAGTGCCTTAGGCACTACACTACCAGAGCTCCTCTATTAATCCATAAATGCCCCAGGGTTCAGTGCTTGCTTGACCCCTTCTCTTTGCTGTCTAAAATTGGTCTTTCCAGGGAGGAGGCAGCAGAACTAGGGCCAAAGTGACTGTGCATCCCATTATGCCTGGAGGGGATGACACTCCCTGGGGGCACAAATCAGTCATCTGATGATCTCCTGAAGCAGGCATCCAGAAGAGGACCTGAGGATGCCTCAGGGGGTGAATGTGGGAAATGGAAACCTCCAGAAGGAAGACAATAGCTGCCTCCCTGTCTTGCAGACTCAACTCAGCTCCCCACCAAGCCACTTTGTGCCCACCTTGTGTGGCGTGTTGACCACAGCGATGTTGTAGCCATACTGGAAGGCAGAGCCAAAGGCTGCACTCAGTGTCGCCAGCACCAGCGTGGGCTGGAGTCGCTGTGGGAGTTGAGAGCAGTGTTCAGTACTCTGTACAGCTGGCCCTGGCCGGGCCCAGCCCCAGGGTCCCCCGTAATGGGGCTGTGGCTGGGCCTCCATTTTCTTCCAGCTCAGACTATAAGTGGGACGAAGGGGAGCCCAGACCGCACCCAGGGAAGGTGGAGGAGGTGGCTGGGCAGGGAAGGCAGCCCAAGGCTGGGGGCCCTCAGAGGTCTGAGTGTCTGGGATGGCATTATTTCCTGTTTCTGTAGGCATGCACTTATTCCTTCCTTGAAGATTAACTTGAGCATCTACTATAGGCCTGACTTGTGCTAGGGGATGCTATAGGGAAGAAGCCTGTCAGAGTGTTGCGCTGTGCAGCTTACATTCTGGGGGGTGGGGGGAGAGATGAACAAATACAATAACCCCAGATAGTGACAATGCTATACAGACAGTGAAACGGGATAATGGAGTAGAAGCCAGTGGGGATTGGGGGGCACTTTCAGCAGGTTGGACAGGGAGGGCCTCTCTGAGGAGGTACTCTTTCAGCTGGGACCTGAATGACCAGAAGAAGCCAGCTCTGTGGAGGGTCTGGGGAGAGTGTTCCAGACAGAACAGCAGACAGGCCCTGAGGTAAAAGGACACACACAGCTTGTCTTTCCCTCAGAACAGACCCACTGGAAAGCCTATTAAGGCAGCCCTGAGCTCATGAGCTCACTGCTTTGCTGGCTACCACAACACCCAAAGCCCAAGGAAGGAGTGGCAGAAGTGGGGTAGGGTCTGTGGTTTACCTGTGAGTTGGTGCCTCCCAGAGCTCTGCCAACCAGCCAGTCCAGAGCTGGTCCCTGGACCACACTTCACACTCCTCTACTTGCCTATTACAACTATGTACCCCTACTCCTGCCACACTCCCACCTCCACCACACTCTCATCCCCACCCCACTCCAACCTATACACTCACCCTTCTATATCTTATTCTACCACACCCTTACTACTCCCCCAGCCACACCCCAACCCTCACCACACTCTCACTCCCACCAACACCTTCACCCTGACCAAATCCTCACTCTCACTATGACCCACCCCTACTATACACTCACCCCCACCCACACTTTCACCTCCACCACCCCATCACACCCTCACCCCTACCCTCACCTCACATCTATTACAACTTCACCTCTACCCCCACCCATACCCTTACTCCTCCATACCTCCATACCTTTACCCTACCACAACCTCACCTCATTCCCACCACATCTTCACCCCACCCATACTCTCACCACCACCCCATCACATCCTCACCCTTACCCTCACCCCCATCCCTACCACATCTTCACCTCCACCACACTTTCACTTCCACCCCCACCCCATGCCCTCACTTCACCCCCACCCCAACTATACCCCAACCTTTCCATAACTAAACCCCCCCACCCCACCTCTGTCCCCACCCTCATTCTCACCATGCCCTCACTGCCAGGAATTCAACAGCTGCCTGGCTGTCTACAGCCCTAAGACACATCAGACAGAGAAGGGCTGGATTTGGATATCTTTAGAGGTGACCTCTCCTCCCTTAGACTGGGGCATCAAGGTCGGGGTGGGGTGTGAAGACCACACTTTCTCCAGCATCCTCTCATCTCCCAGCCCTTCACCAGAGCAGGACTCCCCACCCCGACCCTGAACCTGAACTGTGATGTGTGGAGCTGGATACATCTCTCTTATTGTCCCCCGACCCCATCCAGGGGTGGCACCCTTAGGAGGAGCAAGGCCAGGAGGCTACCTTCAGGTGACAGCTGCCCCTCCCTGCTAGAAGACCTCCAGGAACTCTCCCCTCTCTCTTAAGACCTCCCCCTTCTGTTGGGACAGGGACAATGGCAGTGACTACTCACACTCACCCCCACCCTGGGCAAGGCAGGATGCGGAGGCTCTGTCTCTTTGTTCTCCATCGTTGTTCAGGCAGGAGGCAGGTGCACTCTGCCTTCCAGACGGCACCTCAGTCAGGCTTGGTGGGTGCTGACCATGGCAGACTGGCTCACCCTCTCCAGGACTATGTGAATTTATTGCCCTGTGGCCTCTGGACTGTGTAGACTTTCTCCAAGAGCACATTTTCCTTGGATGTGTTGATAAGATATGTGTTGGTGTTTCACCAGTGACAATCACACAGCTTGAATTTTATCTAAGGCCAAAACCGAGGTTCCCTAATTGTACAAAAACCTATTGCCATTGCGTCAATATCAACTCATGGCAACCCATGTGTTGCAGAGTAGAACTTTTCCGTAGGGTTTTCTTGGTGGTAATCTTTATGGAAGCAGATCGCCAGGAATCTTTCTTCCATAGAATTACTGGGTAGGTTTAAGCCACCAACCAACCTTTAGGTTAGTAGTTAAGCACAAACTGTGCCACTGGGGGCCTTCAATTCTACCAAAGAGAGGAAAAACATTATCTGACATCAGTCCCTAGAAATGGGGAGTTTGGGGAAACAAGTCAGACTATGGCTTGGATCTATTATGTTTCTCTTGTTTTATTTCTCCATATATGCTTTCTTTTATGAATTCAGGCTATTTGTCCATTTAGGGGGTAGAGTAAACTAGAGACTTTTAAAGAAAGGTAACTTTATTATTTCTAATTACACTTAATAATATTAAATACAATGTAATCATCAAACACAGATGTTCATTTCAGACTTGACCTTACTAAAAAAAAGAGAAAAACTTTACTAGCAAAACAAAAAAAGTAGGGAAGTGACTGAATAAATTGTGACAGGTCAATTGGTTGGAATACTAGGCTGCCATAACAATGAAAATTATGTAGAACTGTGCAAGTGTGGTATAAAGTTTATGTTAAGTGAGTATTCATTTTCTAGGGCTGTTACAGAAAATTACCACAAAGTGTGAGGCTTGAAAGAACATAAATTTATTTTCTCACTGTTCTGGAGGGCAGAAGTCTGAAATCAAGGTGTTGGCAGAGGTCTTTGGAGAATTGAAGGCCCCCAGTGGCACAGTTTGTGCTTAACTACTAACCTAAAGGTTGGTTGGTGGCTTAAAACCTACCCAGTAATTCTATGGAAGAAAGATTCCTGGCGATCTGCTTCCATAAAGATTACCACCAAGCAAACCCTACGGAAAAGTTCTACTCTGCAACACATGGGTTGCCATGAGTTGATATTGACGCAATGGCAATAGGTCATTTGAACACTCTAGGGAAGAATTTTTCCTTGCATCTTCCAACTTCCAGTCATCCTAAGTGCTCCTGGGTTTAGAGATGCAGCACTTCAATATTTGCCTTTATGTTTGCATGGACTTCTTCCTTCTGCATTTGTCTCTGTTCTCCCCATTTTATAAAGACACCAGTCATATTACACTAGCGTCCACTCTATTCCAATTTGACCTCATGCTAACTAATTAGATCTCCAAAGACCTCATTTCCAAAATAGGTCACATTAACATTGAAGTTGGAACTTCAACATATCTTCTTGGGGAACACAATCCAACTCCTAACAGTGACCAAAGCAAATTATATTGTTGTACCTGGATAAAAATGTGCTTGTATGTGGAAAATAGCACAAATGGAGATCCAAGAATAAGAGTTCTGAGGTCCTTATTTCTCCTAATAATTTTACTAAAATGGCACAGCAACGTCTGTCCTCCTCTAACTTTATGAGGAAAGAGAATCAAGATTATCAGCATCATCCCAGGGCTAATTCCTATCAGGTGAAGGTCAAACATACCTCTACTCCAACCTTTTTACCAATTCTGACAACAGCCATCCCTCCCATGGCACTCTTTACTTCTCTGCTGGGTTTGAGAAATCATTGCAGTGGTCACGTAGAACTCACAGACCATAATTAGTTATGCAGTTTATTAGGGAAAAACAGGTTAAATTCAGGATCAGGAATGACTTTGGAAACAGTTCTTTAATCAGGGCAGCTTCTTGGCCATGCCCAAGGGCAGGCCTCCTGACCCTTGGTCCCTTGGTCCCTGCCCCACTCTGGCAAGTGTTACAAAGCTCCACCAATAAGTGGTCTGGAGACACCTCACTCTACCAGTAAGCCTCAGTCTGAAGGCACTCAACCCTTGCTCCATGGGTTGGCACACCTACGTAGTTGCCTTGCTCCATGGACCAGGAAGTCCAGGCCACACCATCTCATGCCATCTGCTGCTGTCTTTTCTCATGGACTCTGCCATGCTTGCCACCATTTGTACCCATTACTGTGCCATCTCCTGATGACTTCAGTGTTACACCTGGAGGTTCTCAGCAGAGGGACCTTGGGTCCAGAAGACACACTGCATTCTCATGTCTTTTTCTTGATGGTAGTGAAGTCCCCTGTCCCTTCCTGGGATTGACTCCCTTTAAACTTAACAGGATGGCAAAACTGACCAATCCCCTTGTTAGGGTTCCATACACCTTATTTTCATGGTCTTACCCCCACAAGGATTTCTTGTACCCTATTTGCATTATTAGCAGGCTGTTTAATTTCATGGTGGGACACAAATACCTTATTTGCATAGTCCCACCGTATCATTTTGTAGGAGTTACAAGACCATGCATGATTAAAAGGGCCATAGTAAGTAATTCACTGCACCATAAGTCTATTTATGAAGATGTATGTATTGCCTAAGAAAGGAATACAGAAGAAGAATTGATGCATGTGAATTGTGGTGTTGGCAAAGATATTGAATATACCATGGATTTCTAGAATAATGAACAAATTAGGCCTAGAAGAATACAACCAGAGTACTATGTAGAAGCAAGGATGGCAAGATTTCAGCTTGCTTACCTTGAACACTGTCTTAGTGTGAGTTCTCTAGAGAAGGGAGCAAAATCCACCAAAAAAAACCCCACCAAACTCATTGCTGTTGAGTTGGATCCAACTCATAGTTCTAAGGTGGTATCACTATGGAAGTAGATTGCTCAATCTTTCTCCCCAGGAGTGGCTGGTAGGTTTGAACTGTCTGTCAGCCTTCTGGTTAGCAGTCAAATGCCTTAGGCACTATGCCACCAGAGCTCCTGGGAGCAAAGTCAGTGAAATGTATATATAAATATATAGAGAGAGATTTACTTCAAAGAAATGGCTCATACAATTGTAAGGAAATGGCTCATGCAATTGGGGCTGGCAAGTCCCAAATCCATGGACCAGGCAGCAAGCTGATGATGTCTACTGGCTTAGAGGATTGTGAGGCTGGTGAATCCAAAACCTGCAGATTAGGTGGCAGACTGGAGACTTCTGTAGGCTTAGATCCCAAGAACCGGAGGTCAGGAGTGAGAAGAGTACAAGGGCAAGGGAAAACAGCTTTACTGCCACATCCTCAAGGAAATTCTCAACTGATTGGCTGATCATACCACATTACATAATGGAAAGTGATTACATTATATTACAAAATGGAAGCACACTCAACCACTCAGTGTCTACCAAAAATCAGTCAGTGTCTACCAAACCACTGAGAATCATAACCTAGCCAAATTGACACATAACATTAACCATCACAGACACATCATCAGGAAAAACCAATCAATCTCTAGAAATGGACATTGGGGGGAGGATCTGGTAAGATGGTGGAATAGGCAGACAAACTACACAGACCCTCTTCAAGAAAGAAAAGGGGAACCAATTAACACAGATGCAGAAGACAATCCTGGAGCCCTGTGCTTTGAAAGGAAGGATACAGGAGTGGACTAAACTCCAACTAGTAGAAGAACCTGCAAGAAAATTCCAAAAAAGGAGACATACAGAGCTGCAGTCTGTCAGCTATCCTCACAGCACAGACAGCTTGGATATTGCCAAGTGGTGTAAGGACCTAAGAATTGACCTAAAAATCAACCCTACTAGCCAGAGGCTACACAGAACAGAGGACTGCACTGGTGGCTGGTAAATAAAATGGGAAGCAGCGAAGAGGGAGACAGGCTGAGCTGTGGACTTTTGATTATCTGGAGGGCACAGACATTTTGAATGTTTACAAGCTGTTGAACCATTTTGTATATTTAAAGCAACAGCATTCTCTCAGATTCCAGGGACCTAAGAATAGACTCCACTTGCTGAGAACCACAAGAACATTCTAGATGTGAAGGACTGGAAGGTGCGATATTCCCCTTGTTACTCTTATTCCCCACACCCTCTTGGTGAATGGATGTGTGGCCATCCCTCACTCCCATCCACCTTCTGGGCTGGCAGGAATTCCATCCCAGTCTGTGTGCTCCGAAGGAACATGGATGCCCTGCCTCATTCTGCCCAGATTTTTTTTTTCCATTTTTTTTTTTTTTTAGTTTGTTGTTGTCTGTTCAAAAATTATTATTATTATTATTTGTTTTTCATTCTTTTTATTATTATTCTTTATTCTTCCCTTCCTAGGTTCTAGTTTTCGGCTTTTTCTCTCTTCCCTGTTCCTGATTCACATTTTTTTCTTGTAGTTAATCCCTTTCATGTTTTTCTTTTCGCATTTTTCACCATTATTCTTTTACTTTAACTCTTTTCTTTTATTGTTCCTTCCCCAGATACTGTGGTGTTTTTTTTTTTTTTTCTATTTTTGGTGATTGTTCCTGTGTGTTTATGCGGTGTGCTTTTGTCCACTTGCTTTTACTTTTTTGGTGGTTTTTTGATCATTGTTTTTGTCTAACTGACTGGGAGACAGCAACTGTGTCCATACGACCCAACCATACCTGCACCTCCTACAGTTCCACTTACTGAGTGAGAATCACAACTTCCTTCTTCACTAACTGGCCAACAATAAACAACCACCAAGAAGAGCCTGACTCACCCTTAACTGCTCTTCACAAACAGTTAACAGAGATCTAAATACAACAATGTCACAATGTCTTGGAGACAACAGACCATCACAGTACACACAAA